CAGATAACATCTTGAAAATTGCCATTTTAACTGTAGTTGTTTTTTCCTATTACCTCCATCTCCCCCCTTTTTTCATATACTGGTGTTATGTATGACTAAGGTTGCATACATATAAAATAATAAGTAGCCTACAGAATTCTGAGAACTTTCATTTCTTAAATGTTACTAGTAAAGTACTAATATTTGTTATGATCTCATCTGCTGATCTTAATTCATGGTAATTATGATTATCTACTTTCTCAAGTACAGTTACCACTGGAATCAGCTCTTTCATTGCCAAGCATTCTTGTTCAATACCATTTTTATTTAATTTTGTTTGTGGGCCTAATTTCATTTATCATTATCTGAAAGGCACCTTCTTGGGTACCTCAGTAGCCTCACCCATGCCCATCATCCAGTAAAGCTATAATTGCTGATATTTCCTCTTATATTCATGCATACTGCAGTTGTGTTGTTGACATCTCCATCAGATGATTCAGTCCAACTTGAATGCAGTTCAGCATCTGTCAGCTTTCCTCTGGCTATCAGTTTAAATAATTTCACAAAACCATCTTTATTTTCTTTGCCAGCAGTGTGGTTTTACTTTAGTTATCTCTTCCACATAGCCTGTCCATTCCCTACAATCATTTGGTCTCATTCAGGACTCACTAACTTAAAAAAGATTATATAGAATAACTAATTTAATATCTCCTGTTCAAGAAGGTAAAACTATAACTCTAATGCTATAACTCTCGATTAATAGCCTCTTATTTCACTTGGGTTGACTGCCATAGGATTCTAGAAAGTGGTTCCAGAAGCCGTCACACATCCTATTCTTCTCTTGTTGGCTAGATATCAATCAGTGGGGGAAGGGTTTTAGAGGAAACACATGGCCTGAGTTTTTGAAGCTGGGCTTTACTAGTGCTGATACTGTAGATTTCTTTGTGAGGTTGTGGTGGGGGTAGGGACATGAGGGACATATTTTTATTTGAGATGAGATCTGGTTATATAGTGGCTATCATCAAAGGGGATATAATAGATCTCCATATTGAAACCATGAATTTTAGCCACTTGGGGTAAAGGAGCAACTTCATTAGTTGGTACCAGAAGCACATTTAGTTACCTACCTCAATAGATATGCCATGGTAAGAAAAGTTAGTTCTGTGCATCTAAATTACTATTTTTTAGCAAAAACTTCTATTAAAAATTAAAGCTTTATTCTTCTACAACACTCTTTAGATATGGAATACTCTCCCTGAGCTGATCAGAAAAGCTACTTTTTTTTTCCACAGTCACGTAACTCCAGATGACCAGTTTCTACACTGATGCCAAGAAACCAGCTGACAGATAACAACAAGGTTAAAAGTAGTCAGGGTCTCCGTCATCTATCATCACAACTTTGTGATACCAAATACTATGTTATCAAGATGTCACCAAGTAGTATCTTGACAACTTCACTGGCATGGCACACTGAGTTGCCCTCTCCCTTCCCACTGTCAGGTTTCATCTTTGCTTTATATTCTGTAGACCTAAAGCCCATTGGAAGTGGACGTACAACAGGGACACTGAGTTCTGCGTGGCTCAGGAGCCACAGGAGCATGCCATTAGTGTAGTTGTATGTGTTGCATTATCCATGATTGCAGGAAATGCATATGGTTAAATATATATATATATATATAGACACCCCCCCAAATTTTGAGAATCATTTTCTACAAAGAGCCACAGCTAAAGAGCCACTTAGGCCTGGGAGTTGCAGTTTGACTGTCACTTATTCACACCTTTAATTTGTATGTTTGTAAAAGTGTCTAATGTTATAAGAAAGAGTGAGCAATATAGGAAAACAAGTAATGTATTATATCAGTATGGATCTGAACATGGCTGTTTTGCTAATAATGCTTTATATATTACATTTCTAAGGGGCACTGATTTTTTTTAAAGTGTGTAACTAATGAGCAACATGCTAGCAATGAATGAGAAATGAGTACTTAAAATGTAACGGTGCACTCTTGCTGAAGTGTCCGAGTCCAGTTCACCTAATAAAATCTTACAATGATAACAGATAAAAAAACCCTCCAAAGACTTTATCCAAATAAAAGCTATCAGATGTTTCCAACAAGCTATGTTTTACCACAGTCTACTGCATTTCAAATATATGCCAACAAGCAAAGACAATGTCAACTGCTCTCTGGTTTATTCTCCCCAGAAACCAAACACAAATCTTGCCCCCCAACCACACATGAAATAGCTAACCAGGAGTACTGCAATGGGAGGTCTGGCCTTTCAGGTATGTCATTTGGAGACCACCCTACTAGCTGAGGCAACAAGAACACAAAACCAAGGTCAAACAAGGCAGCCCCTTGTAATTAGATCCTAATAATGGATTTAAGGTGTAAAATTCACTTAAACCTATACACCAACAGACTAAACAGTCCAAAAAGGCTGGACAGTTTTTCTTTCTTTTTTTTTCTGTAAAAATGTTTTAATACCAGAAAGCATAAATAAAACACACACACATTGGCTGACAGATTATAGCAGCGTCTTCTTTCTAATTAACTGTACTAGATCTGGGTGGCATAATATTTGCAAATAATTAGCACTGTAGTGTAACTTATACTACCATCCCACACTTTTATTACTAGTTTCACACCATCATGCGGCATTCCAGTAAAATCCTTCAGAATTTCAGTTTTGCTTAGAAAATATATTACTGTTATAAGCAGTAGAAAAATTATGAAAATTTGAAAGCACAACTATCTTGATGGTAGCAAGGAAACAGAGAGATGCTGATGAGTAGCTGTTGGGCAGTGAACAGATATGAATTATCCTAATCACTTTGTGGAGGGGACAGTTGGGTGGAAGTGCCATTAATAGTTGTAAGCAGTGCAACACTTGTTGCCTTCTTTCCTTTCATGTTCACACTGGGTTCTCTGTGCATATTTTTTCAGGATAAAGGGAAGAGGTATAAGATGATGATATTGGTCTGGTCAGATGGAGCTGCTGGAATCGTGAGAAAGCAGGGCACTTCTTTAGTTAAGGTGAGTGTCCATGAATCACCTTTCCTTTATTGACGCTACTTGGTTAGGTACAGACATTCCAAAAACCTGAGGTGGAATCGATCTAAATTATGTGGTTTTCTGTAAACAGCATAGTTTAGATCAGTAGTGAACAGAACACATGTTTGCTGTTTGGTGGGGTGGGAGGCAAATCCTAGACCAGGTTCTGCTATTTTTAAACCAGTCTATGTATACAAAACTTCTATCCTGTTATGGATATAGACTGGTTTCTGATCATCTATACTGGTAAAAGTAATGCCTGTACCTGGCTTAGAACACTAATTTATGGTGATGTAGCAGCTCTGAGTATAATGTTTTCAGATACCATATTGTTCTTTTGGCAGTCGTTGCAAAGAATGTGAAACCATAATAAAGGGCTTGCTGCTTTCATACTGATTGATGCATAAGCAGGTTTAGTCTAAATTTGACATCTCATTCAGTGTGGTACTTATTACACCCTGGTTGAATAACTTTCATTTTCTCCCTGTTTCACCCTTTACTTGACCTATATGTACTACTGCCTGACTAAAGGGACAAAGAAAACAAGGAGCAAAATGGTCAACTTAAATACACAGTAAGGGTCACTCCCATATGCCCTTCTCTGTATGTAGGAGGAAATAGAAGTGCATGCGTGTTTGCGTGTGTGTGTGTGTTTGTTTGTGTGTGTGTGTGTGTGTGTGTGTGTGTGTGTGTGTGTGTGTGTGTGTGTGTAGTTCACTGTAACATCAAATTTCATGAAGGCTTATAGAAGCAATTATAGGAAGTAAAACTATGAAGAAAGTAAGTCTGGAATTGACCAGGGGATAGATAGAATCCACTATGAGGTTCTTCTGCCTTGCTAACAGTATCAGATTTGGTTTCTAAAGCAGCATCTGGACAATGTAGCTTAAGTACTGCTTTGTTGATACAGATCTGTTGAACCATGTCCATGTGCAATTACTCCAGTATCTTGCATAACACAGGGTGTCTACACATTCATTAATACGCTGTTAAGTTTCGTACCTGTAATAACAGATAACTTAATGTGCTGTAATCAGTGCTACTGCTCCGTAGCACAGGTGAATGCTTTTATGTGACACTAATGCAAAGTGGATTAATTCTACTGCACATTAGCATGGTTTTTGCCTGCTGTGCTAATGAGCAGTAGAATTAGTCTACTGCGGTGTTAGCATCTCGTGTAGATGCGCCCACTGTGGTTAGTTTTGGGCAGCAGGATCTTACGGCAGAATTTGGTCATTTCTCCACTGGGGACAGGGTAGCTTCAGCAATAGGCACTAAGGATAAGTACAGATAGTCAAAAAACCTGAGGCTGAACTGATTTAATCTTCACAGGTTAGTCTAAACTGTGTAGATTGAACTGATAAGCAGGTGAACAGACATTCACTTTTGATTCTAGAAATGCAGCCATATGCCTGCAGTGGCTCAGACCAGAAGCTGGAGGGGAGGGTGCTAGAGTATGCCTCCCTGCTGAATTGTAGCAGACAGCTTGGGCCAAGGCTATCCCACCTACCCTGCAAGCATGGGGGGAAGAGGTTTGCAGGGGGAGATGCAAAGCATCCTGGGATGCTAGGGGACTGATTTACGTTGAATCTTGAGAGGATCTGGACAGAAGTTCAATAAACCAATTTAACCTAAATCAGGTAAGTCTAATACTATATCCATCCAGGTTCATCTTAAACTGGTTTTGGCTGTTTTGAAAGTGATTTATGTGCACTGAACTTTTGTTGTGTTACAGATTTGAATCGATTTCCAGTCACTTATATGGGTATATGTGCAATTTCTGTCCCTAGCCTAACAATTCAGAATCCCAGAATAGTTTCCACTGATAGTAGTGCAAATAGTTGTACAATAAGTACAGGAGTCTGGATCTACCATAAATGTATATGAGTCTAGCCTGACAGAGGATAAATGTTACAATTCAAGGAAGATGTAGATTACCATTGAGAGTAAGATGAGAGCAATGATTACCTTTTTGGGTCAACAATCTTGTAGAGTTTCCCATTCTGAGACTGTGTCATGCTTTTACTGCTTGATAAAATGTACACTTCACCTATTAAAGAAACAAATACAGTAAATACATGTGGTTTCCTAACATTTCTGAGTAGAGAGAGGTATTTAGCCATATTAGTCTGAAGTCAGGCAGAAGGCAGGGTAGATTTTCACCTTACAGACTAACTAAAATCAGAAATGCTGCAGCTTTCCATTTTCAGAGCATCTGGTGAATTAAACCATAGATTGAGAAAGCATATGTACTTCTGCTTTGATTAGTTTATAAGGTAGAAATCTACCATGCCTTTTTCCTAACATTCCTGACACAGTTAACTATTCACCTCTGTGTATAAAATGGATGAGAGAAACCTCATGAATTGAAAAACACTCTGTACTGCAAATACTGCATTTTAATCAGTAAAGTGGGATGTGCTTTGCAGTGTGCTTCCAGGGAACTTTTTTCATACTTTTGTTTTTTATTTAAGCTGTACAAAAACTGTCATTGTGAGAGGGCTATAGATGGTGCCTCTACCAATTTATGCTCATACTCACTGGTTATCCCTATATAAAAGTTAACAGGTAGAGAGAACTACACAACAGAGAATATTAGGCAACAGTATAATGGCCATGACGTTGATTTGCAGCAATTAAATGCCTACTCTACTCCTGTGTGGTAAGCATGTCATTATGTAAGATTTACAATATAATAAGTAATTTAATCTATTTTACCTAATTCATCTTCTCCAAATCCCAAGATGGGGCCTGTGAAGAAGCCTCTACACGAACCACTGTTCCCAAGACAAAGAGGCTTCTCTTGCCACTGTTTGGTCACAGGACTCTGCTGTAGTGTTAAAAAATTGCTGTAATAAAAATACACAAAGTGAAGTGTTATTTGAAATGAAAGTGTAAATTGTCGGGATATTTTTCCCTGAGTACATCTATAAGCTAAATCACAGTATAATTTCCCACCTGGCTATAGTATAAAAATATAGCAAAACATTCCCCTTTGCCACCCTTGCACCATTTGAAAAGTACTAAAATGATGCTAGGGATGAACCCAAATTTCATACATACAGACTCAAAATATGCTTACAAATATTTCATCTGCCTTGGGGTACTAAGGTATGGTGTGTGCGAGCTACAACTATTCATTTGGAAGGCATCACTTTTTTTCTCCACCAGTTATATGTCTCCCTAAGATCTGGGACGCTTTCAAAACTGCATTGTTAATCAAGTGGATCCCAATTTTGGAAATATCTTGGCATTTGTATTTCCATTTCAAGCTCTTCCTGAGACTTGGCATGTTGCCTGCTGCTATTTCTTTGAATGCTATGATCCAGAAAGGCAAGTCCCTAACCTTTACAAACCTGGTTTTTTACATATAGTATTGCCACATTTCTGGGATGTCCAAACTAATAAATCTTATTGCTACATTATGTTGGAATTGCATAACTGAGTATACTTTCTAATAAGTACTTTTGTCTTAGACTGCGATTTTTAAGACACCTACCCATTGCGGTCTCCAAATACATAACTTCCATAAAGTCTTTCGGACTGGCAGCCCCGGTATACAAATCCACCAACCAGCGGTCCACTACTGAATGGTTTGAATTCTAAAAGTGAAGGTTCACTTTCTAAAAAGGAACTAGCATAGTGTTAGATCAAATGCAAATTCATATATTCAAAACAGTTATGCAAATGTTACTCTAAGAAGAAAACAGGTTGTTGCCGTTTGAATTGTACTAATGGTGAAACACATCATGGTCCAGACAAAAAATGGAGCATATAGAAAGCCACAAAATTGCAAATAACATTTTAATGTGATTTTTCTTAGAGGAGGGGACATCCCATAGAAGAGGGTCATAACCTAACTTTATTCCAAAGGCCAAGTCAGTGCAGCCCAAGGGATTGTATTCTAGTCCTAGTAAAATTAATGGGAGTCCTGCTATGGAGTTTTGTGTGTCCAGAATTGAGTTCATAGAATAGATCTGTTACACTTCAGTGTTATAAATAATATAAAGGGAACATTTTCAAAAATGCTTAAGATCCTGTAGGAACACAAGTTCCCACCATCTTTTAGCTAAACTCATTCTTCTAAATCTATTCACAGCTTTTGAAAATCTCCTCTAAAATTGCCTTCTTATGGAATAAGCTTGTGCTGTACAGCATTGTGCATCAGCACTGCTGGCTAAAGTCTTTCATGATGCAGCAGCTACAAGGTAGTTACTATGGTTGACATCACTTGCACATTTTTGTTTTACAGAACCACGCTGTTTGGGTATATTAAATAATCTCTTCAAGGAAGTTACTATGTACCATGCTTACTCAAATATAAGGTGAACCTGAATATAAGAGGACCCATCCATAACCAGATTTTATATTTGGAAAATTTACATTTTCCTCCCAAATTTTCTGGGTATAGAATCTAAGTATTGGAGTGTGCCTTGAAACCTCCCTCATTACTACAGCAGGGAAAGCTGTGGCTGAAGATGGGTCAGGTGGCTCTCCTGCCCTGTACCTCACTCCTTTCTTCCCCCTACATCTTTCCTGTGTGCCCCTGCTCCCTCCAACTCCCCACAGCCTCGCCCCACTGCACCAGTCTCTGCCTCTTCTCCCCCCTGCTCCCTCCAGTCTCTGCTCCTTCCCACCCCCGCTCCTCAGACTCTGCCTCTTGCTCTTCTGTCCCTCTGCTTACTATCGGGATGCTCTGTTCTGGAGCACAACATGTGGAAGCTCAAACTTCTTCTGGCCTTGTAGTAGTTTTGGTGCTGTTGCAAGGCGCCAGGCAAGGGAAGGAGTTTCCATGTGCTTTGTGCCTGGGAATAACACCAGCCCAGCTGTGCCTGGCATTAAGGGGGGAGAAAAGATGGCAGTGGAGCAGAAGATGCAGAGGGGTGGGATAGAAGGCTGCTTTGGGGCTGACTGTGGCCCTGACTTGGGCTGAAGGACCAAGTCAAAGCCCAGCAGCCACCTGCTCCCCTCTTCACTTCGTATGCAAATCTAAGACGAGGAGCATTTTTTCCCAGGCTGACTGAGGGAAAAATCTCATTTATATCCATGTGAATATGGTAAATGTTCCCATATATACAATCAACATATATTTAAGGACTAGTTAGGTTAAAAGCAACCTGCAATTTCCTTTCTGATTACATAATTTAAATCAGAGTCACAGCTAATAGAATATTTTATTGTTGCAGTTGGAATGCCATTCACAATCTTTGATAAGTGAATTTTCCAGATTAGGTTGCAAGGTAAGGGATGAAATTATACAAGGCATGAGAAGAAATGATGGGCTCCTTTTTCTTTAAGCAGTTAACCACAGAATAGTTGTTAATATTGGCAAGCTGTTCTGGATGGACACAATGCCACACCACAATATTGCTTAGTTTGATCTACAGTAGAGATGCAGTCAAAATTCCATTGGAGCAGTGGTTTACCAAATCCGCTTCAGACCACATTATTCTTTGGTTTGGCTTTTATAAAATGCATGCACAAACTATGTGAAATAAATAAAGCTGAAACAACTGCATCCCGCCTTGTGGACTACTACATGAGCCAACACAGCTGCTCTACTTTCAATGTACAGTACCATACAGGTGGGGGAGGAGTGAGCAAGCCTGTCAGTTGAAAGACCTAAATAGGTTGTGCTCCATGAAACGATGCTGTTACATGCTACACTGCTTTGCACTTTACCACACTGCCCCAGTGAATTTAAAAGCTGTTAAATGTAAGCATTAAATTAAACATTAAATGTATTTTTAAAATATTTAGGAACAATAATTCCAAGTCTGAAGGTAATGCACAACTGCTAGAATACAAGTCTCCTGGTATAATATGTCTACTGTTATAATCTATGACGTCTTATTATGTTGCACTTTTTCAATGTTGAGGGTTTTTAGTGAAATTTAAACAGAGTTCAATAATTCCCCTATTTGGTTGTGCTCTGTTTTTGTTCTTCTAATTTAATTCCATTAAAGGAGGCACCCTGCCTGAGGCTTATATTCTGTATCTTAAAAGGTTACTTGTGAATGAGTAAGCATACATTTTCATCACTTCCTGATCATCCAGAAAATTTTCTTTATGAGCAGTCACATCTGGCAACAAACAGCTAACAGATCTCTGGAAGACTAGAAATTGGTGCATTTCATGAATCTTATTTACATGATTCTTTGTACTAAGATATAGACATCAGTATAATTGTACTTTCTGATCTTTCTTAGGTTCCCTATTATATTTACAATATTTCTTTTTATCTGCATTTTTTCTACTTTCCTATGCACTGTGGTGTTAGTATGCATTTATCATTCCAACCCCCCTTGAAAGGGTCTTTTTCATAATACTTTTACACTGGATAGAACTTACCATAATCTTTACCCTTTATTATCTGTAAGATTCTTGCAGAAGATCTGTTCTTTACATTTGAGTCAGAGCAAAGTATTGTTAAATTGATATTTACATCTATTGGGTGGCGATCCACAGCACACCTGAGAAACAAAATCAGGTTGGAAAAAATATGTCATATGAACTGACAAGTGAAAAGGTAGCCCCAGTTCTTTACTAATAATTGCTTCTTGGCCTGATGGCCTAAGACCAATGTGTGGCCTTTTTTTGGAGGACTATTGTCTCTTTATGGTTCATATAGTTTTTTTCAGAGGAGCCTTCTACACACTTGCCCAGATCACAGAGAGAATAGTTTTATACATAAGAGATTTTGGTGACCCTCCTCCAAGATCTTCTGTATTTTTTGTAGCACATGCAGACTATGTTTTATATTACTTGTTGATAATTGAAAATAAATTAATTCTGCTTAACAAAAAAATGACATTATTGGTACGTTAACCAGCTGTAATTCTGCCAACCTGCATACTTGATTCCTATTGCAAAGAAGGTTTGACTTTTAGAAAGGGAGCAAAGAACCAACCCCTTTTTAAAAAACAACTTGAGTTTCTTATTTTTCAAAGCATGTGCTGAAATGTTACAGTTACAGTACCACCCACCCAATTCATTGAACTGTGCTTTGCTCTTTATTTTGTTTAGATTGCACCAGATGGTTTAGTTTGTTTTCCACTTGTCTGTCTTTCTCTGTGGAGAAAAGTTTGTTTTTTAACCTTAGTCTCAACTATTATTTGCCAATTCTTCATTTTAAGTTTAATTGTCAAAGTTCTATATTCTTTCATAAACTTAACAGGTTCTGTTATTTTAAAATACGTTTTTGTCACTTTGGAACAAAATTTAGTGCCTTTTTGTGCCTTAATTTTGTGCCTTTTCCCCCCTGTGTAAGTTTGAAATTGAAAGCGTAACTAATCAATTTGCCTAAGGCCACAGAAAAAGTTGGGTATAGAAGAAGAAGTAGTAGTAGTATATTTACAGCTTTTGCTACAACAGTACCAAAAATGAACATTAAATACTATAGATAGTAAAATAATATTTGTATAATTTATATTTTTTGCTGAAAGCATTCAATAATATAATCCATTCTACCAGTTTACACAAAATTTAAAAAGAACATAGTATATGGTGATATAAAAAGGTAAAATGAAGCAGTGGACAAAAGAACAAAGCAGAAGAATTCTACTTGATTTTGGCTTTTATTCTTTGTGCAAGTAAAGCAAATACACCTTAGGAGTATAGGACAGGCTCTGAGTTGTTTAGAGAAAAGCCAGATATTTTTTCATTAGCCCAGCATTTAAAATTTCCTGTTAATGGACAGATCTGTTTTCCTCTTATTTCTTCAAAGAATGAACAAGACCACAAATAGTAATTTAAGTAATCTTTCTCATTCCTCCCCAAAGAACATATTCTATCTGAATATGAAGACCAGTACTGGCTACCTATGAATCTCAGTCTAGTATGACCTCTCATTGTTTGTAGTTTTGTACCACAGACAGGTTTCTAGGTCCAAGGAGAGCTTTGTTAATCTTAAAAAAGGGAAAGTTTGAGAAAGTCTCACTGGCATCATTCTTAAATTTATGTCACGTTTTAAATTTAGAGGAAATATTGGGCCAGTGACTCTCATTACTTTTCCCAGGCCATTTGTCTGGGTGCAGAATATGGCACTTCCTGCATTTCATCTCCATGTTTAGCCTACTAGACCATGCTGCCATCAGCGAATTATCTTCACAGATATTATAAACATTTTTTCAAATCAAGGTAAAATGCTCCACTAAAATTCCAGTATCTTAAAAACACAGATAGATAGTAATGTGCTCACTTATGCTCTCGTGCACGGTCTCTCTCTCACTTTGGCCCAAATACATTTTCTATCTTTCATACTGATTTATCATGACAGCAGCAGTACCAAGTACCTTAAAATGCCCTAGAAAAGTGCCTCAAATTTTATCACCAAACAACTAATTTTTAAGTGCACAAGAAACTACTTCAGCTTCTATAAACTTTCAGTCCTTAGGATGTGAATTAGTCTCAAATTTGCTGGATTTTTTTCTTATTTGCTCATGTATTTGCTAGGCACAGAGACTGCTATTTTATGTATGCTGTTTTCAACATAGTTTGCAAAAACTTAAAATTATCCTGGCCTTCATTTGAACTAGTTACCTAAGGTCACAGATGACGACCTCCTTTATCCCAGGACTCATAAGGAAATGGATTACTTGGTTATGAAGAAACAATACATTTCACTGCCCACTACTTATAAAACTAATGCCTCTATCTGAACTGATAAGGATGGCTATGGTACACAAGCCCAAACTCACAGAGATGCTTTTTAGGATCTTTAAGTCATCATTTGCTGCCCATCCCTAACACTCTGGGCTGATTTCTTCTGCCTTCTTTGTGTGAGTTCTGACTTCAATAGAAACAAGTATAAAACAGCTGAAAGCAGAATTTATCCTGGCACAAATCAAGTATAGTAAGCATCGATATGTAGAACAATGATGAATAAATGTAATTTACTTACCTGCCTGGATTGTGGAGTCCATGTGCAAAAATTTCAGGAGGTTGATTGGTGCTGTTAAAGTGTGGATTGCTTTGTGGTATGGAATAAGGCACATTGCATAAATCAGTATTGACATCCAGACGTAATACGGAACCTGTAAAATCACTGAGAAAGTTGGAGGATAACACAATTGATTTTAAAAAGTATTTCAGCCAATACAGTTTATTTATGCAGTATTACAATGAACTAACAAATGGAATCACACACTTTAATGAACCGCACGTAGATTTTTGAGCAATATGAGTCATGAGAGTTGTCACACTGGAACTGACCAATGGTCCGTTGCCCTTTATATGAACTTCCTGGAATTCTTTTAACAAACCTTTATGAAACAATCTGCTAATATTGCAAATTTGTAACTCTAAAAAAGTTATACCCTGAAATATAAGAGTATTAATTAGACCATTGTTACGTGTTATCCTGGTTTTTTGCTCCTGCTACACATTCAAATTAAAGCTGGATAGAAATCAGCTATAGAGTTGCTACACATTTTCAAGCACTAACTTTATACTTGGTTGGCTCTTTTTATAGCTGGATAGTTATTTTTATTGTGTGATAATTACTTTGCAGGTGTGGGTGGTCTAAATTTATTGCATGATTAACCAGTAATTGTGTGATAATTACTTTGCAGCCAGTTCCAAAGATTAATTACGCATTATGTAAAAAATCCCTTTTGCCCATTTACTGGACTTTTTAAAGAAAATGTTAAGGTTGGTCAGCAGTGAACCAGCATTATTTTGTTGCATAAAATTGGAGCAGGAAAAAAATATTTTCTTATAGCATATGTTATGGCAGGAGGAATTGTGAGAGTGGAGCAGTATGAAGAAAATAGGAATGAAGTTACTCAGTTTTATGTAAAAGAATGAAAACTCATTTGCACTTAGTGTTTATATTCACTCCTTTCTGTACTGTTTGTCTCCATTATTTTTATAGGCATTTAAAATAAAACTTCTGAATTGTTCTTCAGCTCTGCCACTGATAACGTGCTTGCTGTAGAAGCACTAAGACACTTACTGTTCCACTGAGCTGCAGAAGCCTCTGAATGTATTGCCTTTGTCTAGATTCAATACAACATTTATTCAAAATGACAACAAATTTGTACCAAGTGGAGCTTAGAACAATGCAACAAAGGCTCAAACAAGTGGCAAAGTTATAAAGCCAAAAGTAGAAATTATATTGTTTCTTTAGCTATTTGGATAGGTTCCCATGTGGTTCAGGTCTATAATTTACAATGGTATATGGCTGTTGGAGAAAAAAAGTTCATAACACATTTGTGTGTCTATTTTCTTCACCTTGGTCATACTGGAGAAAAATTGTTTAGTGGAATGAGTCCTTCCTGCATTTAAATCTAATCACAACTGCTGGTGACAACTTTAATTAAATGCTTTGGTAATACATGTGTGGGAAGAGACTTATTTCAAGTACAAGAATATACTGAAAATACAGTTCAGTGTAATACGATTTAGCCCTAACTGGGATTTTTTGTAACCTCATAACTGCAGTTCGCAGTTAGACACAGTTTGGATTCTGTTTTCACTCATAGCAGAATAGGATCACCCAGGTGTGTGTGTTCCCACCAAAAGTAACAAAGAGGAAGATAGCAGCTCTCCCACCTTTTAGCTCAAGAACCTTATGACTAAGGAATTTGCCCAGACTGCTGGAAACCAGGTTCTAGCTCCAGCTCCCCCCTCACCCCCCCACCCAAAAGAGAGTTGCGTATACCTCCTGCCTTCCAGCAAAATACTCTTAAGCACAGGGCAGCCAAGAGCAGGAGATATGTGAAGCCAAGAGAAAGATAAGAACCCAAAGCCCATCTGGTTCAGGACATGGATGATATCCTGGTAGGGAGGGTCCTCTGGGTTTTGACCCTGGTTCCTAATAGGTTTTCTGCATCTTGCATTTAATATTGAACTGGGCAAGCAGCAGTGGTTCAGCTTCCACTAAGGGCAGGAGCCAGAGCAGGAGTCTGAAACAAGGGCTTGCTCCCTTCCAGGGTATCATCGTTCTCAGTAAGTCACCCTGTGTTCTAACAACTTGCTTTTTGTTCCTTCCTGGTCCCACATATCTGACCATCTCTGCTCCCCAGTAGGCCTGGTTCAGAAGGACTGGAAAGTGCTTAGGCAATGCCTAACCCTGGTTGTTAGACCATTTTGCTAAGGAGCCAGAGATGCAGGTTCAAACTTCTGTGGGTTTGCAGGGCCTAAAGCAGTGATTTTCAGCCAGGGTGTAGTGGCCCATGGAGTGCTTTGAGATTCTTCCAGGGATGCCAGAGGGTGCCACACAATGTTAACATGGTTAGGTATGTAAACATGGTTCACAAGACCCAGAAATTTCTAATAGAAATGCATAGTGTTAAAAACATTCTGCCTTGTAGTGGTCTTTGGTCTGTCAAACACCTGCTGGTTTTGGTTTTCCTGTGACCACAGGAAAACTATATCATTCTGGGACTTCCCTGCCATTACCTGTATGCCCAGGTGATTCAATTTCATTAGAGAGCCTACGCAACCATAGTGTGGTCTTCTGACTTCTGAGTATGCTCATAAGGGAAGAGCAGTGCAAATACAGCTACACAGAATCCAAGCTGAGCAAAATTGCCAAAAAATCCAGTTTTGTGGTAAGTATAAATAAAATCTTACTTGTCTAACTCAGGCACTGAAGTCAACAGAACTAAATAAAATAAGGTGAGTCGAGTTTGCCCTTATGAGTTTACTGGTGAGTGACTACAATGTTGGTTGACTCCAGTGACCTATCTTCATGATTATCTAAAGGCAGAAAACAATTTTAAAAAAGATTGGGCATTTTTAATCTATTGGTAATTTTTGTACCTTAAACCATCCATCTCCTCCATATCATCCAGAGTGATCATGCCATCACCCAGGAAAATGTATAAGAATCCATCTGGACCAAATAGAAGCTGTCCTCCTAGATGTTTTCGATGTAGCTCTGCTACTTCTAGAAACATTCTTGCTGTTCTCATATCAACTTGGTGTGGATTTTTCCTGCAGTATAAAGATATAAAAATAATTCTTGTATTTCTGCTACTATTATTTCCCACAGATAATAAACTTAAATTAATGAATAACACTGTAAGGAACAGCCATTGTAACCCAGAAATTTATGTTTTCCAGAAGTCATGCAAATGATACTGCACAGGATATATATACACAGTAACTTGGAAACTACTCAAATACAAATGACAATGGCAGCATATAAAATAAGAGAATAAGGCAATAGACTCACTGCTGTTTTAAAACTATTGCTTGAAATAAACCCAGTGGAATTTCAGAAAGTTCCTAAATATGCCAGTTGATATACCAGTTGACAGTTCATTTAAAAAAGTAAGAAATCCCAAATAAAGAGAGATGATAAAACTGAGTTTGGGATGTTTAGACTTTTACCGATACCTGGATACTGTGTACTCTACAACCCTAAGGATGTGGTCATGAGGTCCAATGGCCCACCGCTCTTGGTTGGTGGTATAAGACACATACAACTTTCCATTTTTCTTGTAATTGGGATGGAATGCAAGGCTTAACAGCCCTCTTTCATCTCCTCCCTGCAGTCAAATGAAAAACAAAAAGAATTGTGAAGTTAATTATGTTCTTTATTGTGTTTCAGTTGAAACCCACCAAAAGTCTCTTTCTTTCGTGTGGATAATCTTTGTCCAAATGTTTTTTTCTCTTCCCTGACTACTGCACAAAAAAGGATTATAAAACATTTCACTTTGGGGGACACTTTAAGAGTTGGAACAAGACAATTTTCTTATGTATGCACAGACTCATATGCCACTTTTGTGGAGTGACTTTTGTATGTAATATTTAGGAAGCCATGAAGACAAGTTTAAGCGCTGTGAAGAAATCTTTGCTAGGTTACTAGGTTGCATGTAGTTCGCAGAAAACAAATAAAAAGGTCTACAATCAACAGTCACTTCTAATCCAAGTATCCAAAACCTAAAACACGGTGTATGCTGCCAACTCCCACTGTCTTGGCAATATGTTTAGAAAACAGTTAAATTGCTTGTGTAATATGTAAACCTTTGTTTTACCCTGGAGGCAGCTACATCAGTTGTCACAACTATGGTGGTCTGTTCATCATAGCTAGCATACTGTAGGTAATAAGCAGCGTTGGGTCTCTCTGCAGAAAAACCATAGTTTTACATGTGGCCCTTCAATGGAAAGGTTTTCATTGTTTTAAAAAAAAATGAAAATAGAAAATCTCCAAACAACTTTCTTTTGTTATTATGATTGCCACAAAGATTAGTGCAGTTATATGTTAAGCATCAAGTCCATGTAATGTACTGTGACAATGCAAATACCAGTGTACTTAAATAGAAGGCAATTTACTCTTTTGGCTTCTAAAAATATACGGAGTATTACCAGGGTCTAAATTACATTTTGCTGTCTGAAAGGAGACTATACCATAGATTGTTTTAGCCTTTTAGGTAATACACAAACATATAATGAAGAGAAGTTGAGGCATAAACAAAATATTTTTATTGTCATTCAAATTCAATTAATGTGTGGGACTTTTTTACTACCTGGAGGCTGTTTGCTGGCCTACTCTAGGATTTCCCACACTGTCAAAGCTGATAATCCTTTGGCAGACTAAGAAAAGTTCTGTGACTGTGCCTTGCTTGTCTGCAGTATCTCTACTCCCAGCCATAAGGAGGTCCAGTTCTGTAACTGTAACCATGAAAGTTACAAGTAATTATGAAATTGTGATTTGTAAAGGACAGCAAAAATGTTTTAAATGCATTTGACATTCAGCATGATGGGTGAGACTTTTTCTGTTGAAAGTTGTTCTATGCAAAGCCTAATTTGGTAAAATGCATAGCTTTAATTAATTTTCACTTGAGATGATGGCCATACATTGTTTTTTATCTCAGTCATGGAAGAGAAAATTGACTCAGAATTGAGGATGAAAATAGGACAAGAGATTTCATAGTCTGTGCAACTAAAGCTGAATCCTCCTCTTTTTATACCAACATTTGCATAGTTCTTCACCAGATAAAGTCAGTTTTAAGGGGTTGTCGGAAAAGAAGTATGTCATTTTGTTTTGCCTAGTCAGTGCTATTGAATCAGGCACACCATTGATACAAGGGCTGGTAATCCACCTTGTTCTCCCTTGTGATTCTTCAGGAAATAATCCTGCAGCTAGATCTGTTTTTATTTTAGATATTGATTTATGAGTTCCAATCGTGACCAAGTTACTATGATAAAACTAAGTGACACAAAACAAATCTGAGTTTCTTTGCAAGCAGGAAGAGGTATCTCCAAATATTCTGATGAATGATCCTACTTATTAGTCAAAGACATGGCCACTCCTGTTCATCTTTCGAAGAGAAGAGTTCAGCTTCTGTAGGGAGGCCCAAGCAAATTCCACTCAAAGTCTTCCCAGGCAAATCTTCCAGATGAGGAAGTTTACTGGTAAAGTCTCTTGGGTAGGTACAGAGGGATAAGCCTGGGGCAGGCCCATTGACATATTTCTGGCTTGGAGTGTGCTTAGAGTCTTGGGTGCTGGGTTGTGAACAGTGTGTTTAGGTCCCCATCTTGGTGCTAGGCACCCCATGTTGCAGAAGCACAGATGAGCACTTCCTGGCTCAAGGATATACATGAGCCAAAATAAACATGCCATTCATGATCAATTGTTGAAGGCATCAGCAAGGGAAGAACGCTGATCATTCTGCCTCTATAGATTCTACTTAGTACTTTACAAGAGCTCTCTTACTTTGGGGTAAAAGAGGACCGCTAATGAAAGATTATCCCAAAGCAGAGGAAACAGGAAAATGTAATGGAGAGCTTACAGTGAAAGTTACTACTTCAACAGCTTCGTGGAGGACCTAGTACAAATTTCCAGGTACTTTCAATATAGCAAGAACTGGGTGTTATATGAAATATTTGTGTTATAAGGTACTTTGTGGCATGCTTTTGAAAGTAGAATCCCAAGATTGCTGTCCTTATTTGTCATTGCTGTGGCATTATCTTTGTAGCTCCCTCACTGAATACAGAAAATGTCTTTGGCTTCCAGAAATGTGTGAAGAGCAGCCTCTTCTTCTGTGTCCTGTCCTACTAGTTCAAAAACAGTAAGTGGCCTCTAACAGACTCTTCAGAAACATCTCTCACAAATGCTAAAATCTGTGCAGAAACAAAGTCCCTTGATAACTCATCAAGTAGAATAGTTAAATATTTGCTTTTTCTGGACTTTGGAATGTAATTATATTTTCAGCTAAGTCACTGATACACTATGAAACATAATTTGACAACGCTACTGTTTCCAATTTGATAGCTGTTGCAAATCTCATACTTCTTGTACTATTGTACCATTGCAGATACATTTTTCTGTACCTTACATTATGGACTAGGTTATACAGATACCAAACAGGATTCTTGTTCATTTTTCAAGGTTTTAATGCTGTTTTCTGGGGGGGAAGTTTTATTTTTTCAATACTGGACTTCCTTTATTTTAAAGTCAAAATACATAATTGCCTGGTTAGTGCATGAAGCCACTACAGGTCGGTGTTAAGGCTTCTTGTATGCATTTTATTTTTTACTTCTAACATGTTTTGTGGATTTTTCTAATATTTTAATTTTACTTTATGATACATCTCCTGATATATCTCCAAAGCACACAAGCTGAGTTCCTTTCTGGAAGCCAATAGAAAGTGTTAGGCACTGGGATGCATCTAAATGTCCATATTTAACTCAGGAAGGAGGAAGACCCATTTGCCTAGTAGTTTACTGGGTGAGGGATTTGCCCATGAAATGGTGAACATGGGGTATAGGTAGGCCAGCTGTAGAGGGGCTGAAACCACATTTTCCATTTTGCAGGAGAGTGTCCTAATGGTGAGGCGTTGTTGTAGGAAGGAGTGAGGATATTTTCCATCCATCCTGGATGGAAACAAGTGCAAGATGGAACCTGACTAGTTCATTGAGGAGGGCACTTTCCTGGGAGGTAGGAACGCCTGGTTCTGGCCCCTGCTCCCACTACTGTTAATACATTTTATCCAATGACTATTAATATAGTTTGCATGTTAAAGGGCCCGACTATGCCTAGGGATTTTTTGAGGGGCCAAAATACCATTTTCTCTAATAATCTCTACACCTGAATACAAGAGGTCTTAAGCCTTTGGTAGGAAGCATTTTATGAGTTAGGACATTTACCTTGGGGAAAAATAATTACACAATATAACGGCTGTTTATAGTATGTATACTAGACCCCATCTCCAAACTATTTCCTTTCTCCTATTGCACTGCAAACACCTCCACAAACTTGGGTCTGTTTCTGCCTATGTCATCATTGTAAATTCCATTTGCCAAGCCACTGTTATTTTTTGTGGTGGGGGGTGGAGAGGTTAGTAAAAACAGCCAGCGCCCAATAAATGCACACATTTTCAGAGCAGTGTAAATCCTAATTAACTGACTTTTATTTTGAACTTTTTCAGTCTCTAAAGGAGACTCCTCTTGGTCTCCATATGGCAGCTGTAAGACAACAACATAAAGTGGTTCCTATAGATTTACAGAAGTTTCAGTTGCAGAAAAGCACTTTAGAGGAAGAGAAGTTTGTGTTATCTATGTGGCCAGAACTGTTTGTTAAAAAGTGCCTGTTTCTCTACACTTCCTTTAAATATTCAAATTATGATCAATCTAGTGGTGGGGGAGAGAGAATGCACTGAGTCTCTCCCCAGCATAACATGGTTGTAAATCGAAAAGGTTGTCTCTTAGTAAGGTGATCAGCCTCAGATGGTTGGTATCTGGGTGGGTGTTGGCTTCTTTGGGCACTGGCACTCATGCTTCATGATTCAGACAGAAAGAGACATAACTACAAACCCTTGATATTTAGCAGGCACCAAAAGATATCCTGGCTGGTTCCTTGATTATAATGTATTTGTTACATGTCTGAGGATTTGGTTTGCTAAATATTCAATATGGTTTACTGGTTTACCAAATAAACTGTTTTTTTGCTTTAGTTAAGAATGTCTCTGTCTTTAGGGTTTGGTGCTTTCTGCAGCTTTTTTTTCCAGAGGCCTAAGTTACATTTAATATTTTAAAACATTCGGTACAAGGCCATCTTTGTACCTAGGATGCACAGATATATATCCTATTGAAGTCAGTAGGAATTATTTATGCATATATATGAAGGCAGGATTTGACTCAGAGTCATTAAAGGCCTAAATTAACCTTTTGTAATAGATGAAGTGGCATCTTCGGTTTCTGCTAAAGTTCCATGTAGGTAATTACAAAAGTCCCATGTGTAGCCAAAAACTATTGAAGTGACAGCAATATAAAAGCGTAGATTAAGGTAGTGTAAGAACAATATTGAAGCCATAACAATCTAGAAATTATGTGAGAGGCAAGGATTTCTTAGGGTGATATCAGAGCAGTCAAACCTGATACAGATTATCTTTTTTTCAAAAGCTTGTCTAATAGGCCTGTGCAAAGTGGCTAGTATTTGCTTTGGATTTAGATTTGGCTGATTTGGGGGACAGTGATTCAATTTGGTGATTCAGATCACTGTCCTAAATCCATTCAGCTGAATCTGATTTAGAGATTCAGCCGCCGCCGAATCTCCGAATCAAACAGGCCCCATCCCCTGCCTGCTCTTCCAGCCCCATCAATGGCTGCCCCACCCAGCCCCAGTGTCCCGGCTCTTTAAAAAAATGCCCTTCACTCACCGGCTGCTCCCAGGTGGGGAGGGAGGGAGGGACTTTTTGGCTTTTTTTTCAAAGAACCGGGAGCTGGGGCCAGGCGGGACAGCCATGGGGGTGGGGGGGTCTGGGAGAGTGGGCAAAGGATGGGGGTTCGTGGCAGAGCCCCCCACACAGTGTGGGGCAGTGGGGATTGCCTCCCCACGTGGCAGCAGCCAGTGAGTGCGGGGCTTTTTTTTTTTAAAGAGCTGGGATACTGCAGCCATTAACATGGCTGGGAGAGTGGGCAGGGGATGGGGCCTGGCAGGGGTCCCCCCATGGTCCCCTCCCCTGTCCTCCAGCCCCCCAACCCCCTACTTACCGGCACAGAATCCGGGTCCAGCTCCCTGTGGTGGCAAGTTGGGACTGCCCGAATCTCTGAAGCTCTCTGAATCTTTTCCAGATTGATTTGGAGAGTTTTTAATAGATTTGGACTTTTTTATTGGTCTCCCAATTTGATTCTGAGACCAATAAAAAGGTCAGAGATTCTGCTGCCAAATTGGGCCAAATCTCCTCTGAATCGAATCAGCACCCTGAGCTTCACACAGCCCTATTGTCAAACTCCAGCCCAGCTATATAGTTGATTCGATAAAAGATATCACCCTAAGCAATCCTTGCCTCTCACATAGATTAATTCATTTGGATGGGGCTTTTTCACTTCTGGCTAAAAACAAGTATTGCTTCTATGTGCATTTAAACAACTATTGGGTTCCACTAAAGATCTGGCCATGTTCAGTGGTGACTGAAGTTATTCACCTTTCTATAATTTAGTAATTTGTTGACTGTTTTGGGACCCTCTGTGATATTTTTCTGTCTTTATATTTGTATTTTGTTGTAGCAAGTTCTTTTCTCTTCCACCCACAATTCTAGTAAGCAGAACTCCCACTCTGCTTCTTAAGTAGGTATCTTTTCTTCTGTCATCATACTTACAAATTAATATGGAGTTGTGAACTGGCCACCATCTGACAGGCAGCGTCACCAAAATTAACACAAATTTAACGAGTACCTTGGCCTTAATATTTGAACATTTAATTTTATAGAGTGGCTGCCCCATAAGAATAATCATTATAGGGCCTAATTTTGCATATCAGTTATAAACTTCAAATGACTCCTTAGCCTAATATTTTGCATTATAAAAATGCAATCAATCACAAGATGCTCTCTGTGAACATTTTCACAAGGAGTTTAAGTAAGGTTTTTTAGAAATTGTGGAGGAGTGGAGAGCATGTACTTTATTTAGCATGAACATACCAATGTATTTTATATACCACAGTTTTGTCTGTATTGGAAGAAGTTAAAGAGGGAGCCAAAATGAAAATAAGTGTACCCAGCTCCACAGACAGCACTGTGAAGCTAAACTTATCCCACTGGTCTCCCCTTTACTTCTGACATCAATTACAGCAAAAACAAAGATTTTCATATGACCTTGAGTGTTTTATAAACTATTCTTTTTTTTGCCTTTGTCTTGATGTTCAGTGAAGGGTACCAGCCATTAAATTCTGGTTCTAGTCATCTATTTTTTAAATTTTTTTATTTTCTACTCCAGATTTTGTTGTTCTGCTGGGTAAGTTTTTAATTTAATTCAAATGCAATCCCAATCCCCTGGTAATGCAATTCTTCCAATCATCCAAAAAAAGTATATGACATTTACAAATCCAAAGGATGATCTAACACAGATCTATAGCTTGCTTCTCTCACACCATCACAGTAGGAGATGAGTCTTGCTTCAACAAAGTTCCCACTTCTTGGTTGGAAGCATTTAAAAGTTTTAAAACTGCCCAAAGCCAGCCAGTAATTGGGCGGTTCAAGGCAGTGACAAGTAATTGGTAGTGCTTCACCGTTGAAAGCCACTGAAGGAATGCAGTGAATAAGCACACTCCTTCCAGTGAACCTGGCTACTTTTTGGCAACTCCGCTCCCCTATACCTCACCTCCTCTTTACCACAAACTGTCTTCTTCTGGCGGCCTTTCTGCAGCCAGGGATTGAAGTCCTTTATGCTGTGGAATTAACCTCCTTAGTCATGTGGTAAAACTATCAATTGAGAGTTTTGAAACTAGACTGCAATAAGCACCAAGAATATTTACTGAATGTTACAATCTTTCATTGACTGGGAGAATGGACTGAATGACTTCTATTCAATCTTCTCCCTGTTGATTTCAGTTTTTACATGCCCCAAGAGGCCTCTTTTGTGGCAAAGATATCTTTGAGCAGAGAGAGGTAGTTTAGCCATGTTAGTCTGAAGTCAATCAAAAGACAGGGTAGATATGCAACTGATGAAGTTAACATATCTCCAGTGCCTTCTGAAAGGCATATTTTGCCACTGTTTATTTTAGTGGATATCTCAATAAAACTACTTTACTCATTGAAGCACCAGAGAGTGGGCCTTATCTGAAAAAGTTGGCTTATTATATTAATATTCACAAATACAAAGACATTTCAGCAAGAGCCCAATCATGATTTTTCAATCACAGAAATGCTTGATTGTCCCTTTTAAAATGTTATTTTATCAATTAAAAGATTTTTAAACAACTTGTTAATATTATTTGGAGATGTTTTTCCTATAGGAATCCAAATAATGCAATTGTTAAATAGTGACTTAGCTGGCTCTATCAATGTCCCATTTTGACTGCAGTATTCACAGAATACACATTTGGGCTGCTCCTGCCCTTTTAACCATCTATACAAGACACATCTCTACCTGTCAGTAACATTTTTTTCTAAAGTGCTTTATTTAAAAAAAAAAACCCCATGGTTTCTAACAGCAGAATAATGTTAATGAGTTCAGTAAACCTTGTCATCATTCAATATAAAAACTGATTTTAAACAGTACGAAATGTCAACAGATCATTGTTGCTTCTATTGCAGATACAAAAACAAACAGACACCATTTAAAAAACACTTACCCTGGTGCAAACATTTCCCTCAGCTGTTAAAAACAATAAATTGTCATATATATAAACATGAAGTCTACAAGACTTTGAAATCAGTTGTGTAGGAAAGGCTTTTACTGAGAGATGAAAGAAGGGAAGAGTATATATAGTGACACATGGCAAGTTTGACAGCAAACTTATGTAAAATGGGCCAACTGACAACAAATTTTGGACTCTGATAATGGAAAACAAATTCCTTATGTTTTACCAGAACTTCATATGGAAATTTAGGAATGTAATTCACAACAGAATAACTGTAATGATTATACTCTGCACATTAAATTAAAACCAGAAATCCTCATTTGTCTAATGCTAGATATTGAATAATATTGATTATCAAGTGAAAAACAGATGCAGCTGGGAAACTTGCCTGATGTTTTGCAGGATAGTGCATTGCCTTTACATTGCAAGCTCTTTTGAATCTCCTTGCTAGTTAGTGTTTGCAAACTATTATGTTTTAAAGCAGTCACTTGACCTTTACAGTGCCTGCTTAAATGCTCTGTGTAGCAAGACTTTTTTAAAGATTTAAAATAAAAAAATTAAGGAAAGAGCCACTTAGATGGGTTCCTGTGTTTTATCATTGTCCATAGGCTAAGAAGGTAGTAAGACTTTATTGCCAGAGTCCTGGCATGCCACACTAAATGCAAACCTTAAAATGCACATTATAGCTAAGTACAGACAGTCAAAAAGCCGGAAGCTGAATTGACTCAATCTTTGCAGGTTAGTCTAAGCTGCATAATTTGTACTGATAAACAAGTGAGCAGGCATTCACTTCTGATTCTGGAAATGCAGTCACATGCCTGCAGTGGCTCAGGCCAGAAGCCAGGGGGCTCTAGAGTATGCATCCATGCTTGGCTGGAGCAGA